GTTACTGGAAGTCGTCTGTTAACCCCAAAGTTCTGCAAAAGAGAGCGGTTGGAGAGAGAAATTTTGACAGTTCTTTCAGTGAGAGTTTGCAAATTCTTGCTGGACAAATTTCTTCTTGCAATCACTTGCAACTCTTCTTCTTCTCATTCATCGACATTCAATCAGATGTTTTCTATTGTTTGTTTAGTTTCAATTTGAGAACAACGTAAAAAAATGTGAAAAAAAGTAAATATTAATATGTAATAAGAAAATAAAAGACTATTTCCAACATTTTTATTTAAAAAACTTGTAAAATTAGTATTGCTTCCTTTGTTTTAATTCTTCTTATGGGGACAAATTGGTTTGTTTTGACAAATCAGCTGATTAGTTGCAAGCTTCTGCAGGAATACCGTCTGTTTACTTTTCGCATTTTCCTTGCAAAAGAGAATAAAACTATCTTACTCTCTCAGAAAGATGTTGCTGGACAATTCCTGCAGGGAAAGTAACCAGACACACCTATTGTTTTTTTTTGTCTACCCATTAAGATTTGCATGGTGATTTGCTCTCTCTCTCCCTCTTAACTACTTAAAAAAAAACACAAAAGAAACTTATTCAACTCTCCAAAAACCTAACATAACAAGATTTTCAGGCAAAGTTTGGATAGTTGTTGTTGTTACTGCTATAGTCATTTTTATTAATTATGTATGTCGTTATCTCCGGCTATTTTGTTTTGAGGAGGTCTTTTTTTTTGGAGACACCAATTGGTTGACGTTGCCGTCAATGTCGACGCCAACTGCGTTTATTGTGTTTGTTTGTTACTATTCTCTCTCTCCCTGGCAGTCCAGCCGCCGTTGGTGTTGTGTATGTTTCCAATTTCAGGCCATTAACGATCAGTCTTGGTAAATCAGTCGTGCTTAACGTAACAACGTGCTTTTTGTGACAAAAAATTGTCTTCCCGCGAAGTTTTTTTCTTAATCAAAAAATATATATTTCTTTCACAACAGCCGAGAGAGAGAGATTAAAAAAAAAACAAGCAAAAATTGCAAAGAGATTTCCCATAAAATGAGAATTTTGTTTGCCTTTGGTGGTCAACCCAATTAAAAAGGGGGAAAGGATTTCCAATAAACCCACCTAACCTTGTTTTCACACATTTTAATTGAAATTAACAATAACAGCAGCTTTTAAGTGAAAAGCTAACAAACAGTTACGGCCTTAAATAAAAAGTGAGAAAACGTTAAAAAAAAAACGCAAAATCAACAACAGATATCAAATTGTTGATCATCATCATTATCGTTATCGTCGATGTCGTCGTCATCGTCATGATCATCATCAACATCATCGAAACGGAACCCAGCAAATTTGAATTGAGGCAGTGCAAAAAAAAAAAAAAAAAAACGATTTTAATTGAAACCTGAAGAGCCAGTGTGCGTATTTGAGGGTTTGGCCCCCGCGCTTGCTGTTTTTGTGGCTAGTTAAACAAATAACCTTACGTATCTATAATACAATAAAAGCAGCAACAACATTGTTATCATTATAGCAGTTGATGGGCTTGATTATACGATCATCGCTCTTCAAAAAAGTAAAATACAAAATTCCGAATAATTCTTTGTTTATCGAAGAGGAGAGAAAGACGTTTGACTCTTCGGTTTTTTTTTGCATATCGTCTAACGACGAACATCTAATCAATATCCAGTGTTGCTAATTTTTGTGGTTCAGATATAAATCCGTATATCTGGCAATGGAAAGTACTCAGGTGGGAAAATGTGGGGGTATTAAATTTTCATTCTTCAGGGTGATTCTCACAGAAAAAAAACAGAAATTACGTAATTAGGGAAAAAGAAAATTTTCATAATTTGAACGCCTAATAGTATGTTTACATTTGATTTTTTTGCCAGGGTAACCTCCTTTTTTAGGCTACATATATATATATATATATATATATATATATATATATATATATATATATATATATATATATATATATATAAACGCTGTAAACATAAAATGCATCTAATAGATTTCAAATGACAATTCCATTGAGTATGTGTCAAATTGAACCACCAGATGTAAGATTTGACGCATGCGCAATGTAATTGACGTTTTAAATCAACCGGATTTCTTATATGTAAGCACGCTTTCACAAAGTAATGTAAACATGGTTGAAGAATACAGGTAGGCACATCTACACACCTGCTGAGACAATGAACTGTCAAACCTTAGCCTTAAAATGCCTTAACCTAAAAATCTCTATCCCTTTTGAATCTAATAATTAATCACAATAAATTTGACTGTGGAACAATATACTCTTACTACTGTGGAACAGATTTTATATTCGAAAAATGATTAAGTTTATGCGACCGTACTATCATGTTCAGTATAGAGAAGTTATACTCTCTTTTATTTATTTTTTTTTTCAAAACAAGAAGTTTAGTTAAGCTGCACATTCAACGCTGTTTGGCTTGAGTTATTTTTTTTTCTACGTTGGGCGCCATCATAATTAAATCAAAGTTTATTTTAGAAAATATATATGGATTTTCACACAACTGAAGTAAATCCTTTAGAAAATGCTTAGAAAATGGTTAGAAATTCATTCACATTGAATCGTGTAGAGGCACACAAAAGATGATTGACTTTTAACATTGGGCGCCATTATTGAAATGAGATGGAATACAGCCGAAATCGCTATTCGTTCGTACAAATGACATTTTCTTCAATGTGATATTAAAATATTTATATTTTCGCAACTATCATGATTACACATACAAATGTATGCTTCTCTTAAATATCATTTAATCGCTAGAGTCCATTAAGTCTTTTAGTAGAGATACAGGCATTCAGATGTGTCCTACGACTCAGAGAACTTAAACAATGGTTCAGTCAATACTAGCGACCACGGTTGAACTTCAAACCACTTGAGGAACATATAAAATACACCTTTATGCGATATATCAGTATAGACAGCTACTGACGGTACTAAGATGAAATGAGGGACGAGTGTGTTTAAAAAAGCCATAGATCTATTGTCAAACAGGAACAGCGATGTTAACGGATATATCAATGACCGCCGCCACAGTTTATTGTCATTTTAGTCCTTTTTGTTTCAGTTTTGGCCAACTTCTTGGCGGATATTGTCTTTAAAAGTGGAAAGAGTCTGAGGCTTGTTGACATAAACCCGCGACTTCAAAAAGCCCCACAAAATAGAAGTCTGGAGCGGTCAAATCAGACCATCTTTCTGGCCAGTGTAAATCGCCAAAACGGGAGATTAGGCGCCCGGGAAATGCATCCTTCAGCATAGCGATTGTGACACGTACAGTGTGTGCCTTTGCACCGTCCTGCTGGAACCACATGTTTTCCGATCCCAACTCATCAAGTTGCGGTAAAAAGAAGTCGTTGATCATTGTTTTGTAGCGCTCACCATTTACAGTAACCGTTTGGCACGAGACGTCTTCGAAGAAAAAAGGTCCGATGACTCCTGAAGTGAAAACAGCACACCATACAGTGACTTTGAGCGGGTGTAATGGATCTCCGCGTGGGTTACTCGCGGATTTTCAGTGCCCCAGAGGCGTAAATTTTGCTTATTTACGTACCCACTAAGATAGAAATGTGCCTCATCACTCATGATTATATTTTGATTCACCATCTGGACTTTGTACGGAAACATCTTTAAATCTTGTACAAAAATTCGCTGTAAAGGCCGTCGACTGGTAACCATTTGAGTGGGACGTCGTCTGGTCGATGTCGACAGCACATCCATGACATCCTCGGCTACAGCAGCAATATTCTCAGCAGAACGGATAATTAGGAGTCTGTCACTCCTGGCCGCTTATTTTGTAGTGCCAGGTTCTTCGTTGTGGCAGTGTTTCACCAATAGGCGTTGGACGTCCAGGAAATCTGCGACGAAATTCACGTTGTGCCAAAGTCCAGTCCGACCAATTATTTGTCAAATAAATAGTCTCCAATATTCCAAGTTCTGGAGCAGTGTATCGTAACATTGTTTATTCATGGTACAATAAAAAGGCAAAGTAGAGCTACCAGATTATTACATTTTTTTTTTCTAAGTGTGGTCGACTTCTGCCAATTTTGTGTATTGTTTTGAAAATTAAAAACAGAATTTTTTCAAAATCAATGATTGGAAGACGCGCAAATTGCGAGAAGGGCATAAAAGCTATTTGCCAGTTTTCCATGGAATTGAAAGATAGATAATATTTTTGAAAGAAAATCCAGGCATTTCATTCATTTTCCCGCTGTTTAACTGATTTTAAAAAAGAAGGGAAAATATTGAATAAATGGACACAATTTGTTGCATACAAAGCTAACAGGAAGTGGGCACAGCCTCAGGGCTGTATTTCTGTAGTTTTACGAAGCTCCTTATTGTACCATGTGTTTATTAAAGTCTATTTTGCATGTATTTGCTACAAAAATATCAAAACAGAACTGACATTAGGGGCCAATCGAAAAATTTATAGCATTTTCTGATAGGAGGATTACTTTTGCGACACCTTGTATTAAATATTTAATACAATAGCCCCTTTTCATTTGCAAATTCCAAAAATTTGATATTCAATCGATCTCATAGAACAATCGCGATTTTTTCCCGCCAATTTATGTTAGCCACACTGATAACAAGTTGTTTTTAATTCGCCATTGATGACGTTTGACGACAAGTGTTATCATTTAATGTGTCGTTGTTGTTGTTGCTGCTGCTGTTGTTATTGTCCCTTAACAATTGTAAATACAAAACGAATTGATTAGACACTACGAAGAATTCTCTTGTTACTATCCCGTTACTAACACTTATGTACAGCGTACACTTACGTATGGTAGACGTAGTATGTAAATGTTGAGTTATCTCATAAGTCAATAGAAGAAGGCAGAAGCAAAGCAAAAAATAACAGTCAAGTATCTTTATTATTTGATATTTTTTGTTGTTGTTGTCAATTGAAAAACAAACAAACAAATAAGCTACCTCACAAATTTCATTTCATTTGTGTATGTAAAAAAAGAAAAAAAAACAAATTGTTTTATTTTTTTTTTTCCATTTCTTCGGACTGAGAATTATGTAGATAGACAGACAGACATGTACTAACTGACAAATAGACAGAAGATATAACAACTATGTACTGCTGCAGTCTCGTTGTTGTTTTTGTTGTCGTCGTGCTGCTGCTGCTGTCGTTGACTGGGTATAATTGTATCGGAATCTTTAACTAAGCAAAACTACGTCTGTAGATTTGTTTTTTTTTTCTTCTTCTCTTCAAGTCGTCGGTGAGCGAGCGAATAAAAAGCCGAATAAGCGAGCGTGTATGTACATATGTGTCGGCCTGCCTGCTGACTGCCTGTCATATTCATTGATGCTGGGCCTCCGGTTTGGTATTTTCATTATTCTTACTCGATTTAAAGCTGTTGTTCCGTTCATTCCATAGTTCGCACGCGCTCATGGTTGTAATCAACCAGGTTCTGCTACGATGCTGGTCTTCTTTTGCCATGCGAAGCATTGCTTCGTTGTGTTAAAATTGCTCCATTAAAAAGTGTGTGTGAGTGTCAACAAAGTGAGTTGAGCCAAAAAAGAAAGAAAAAAACACAACAACCACAAAAAATCAATGAAAACAACAAAAATAATTTTTGACAAATCAGAGAAAAAAATATTGAAAAGAAAGCAGAAATTTTGCTAAGTGTACAAGAGGTCGCATAATCAACTGAGGAAGATTGAAAAGTTTGGAAAAAAAAATGTAAACCAGAAAAAAGGTGTGACATATTTCAACAAAAAAATAAAATATATTAATTAAAAAAAGTGCTAAAAATTAAATTTCAAAAAGTTAATGAAAAACAACAAAATACCATAATATTGAAAGAATACAAGAAATATCAAAGCTTATCAACACAAATACATTCGCCCAGAAAAATAATAATAAAAAAACGAAAAACAAGAACATCACCATCGAGCCTTAAACAAAAACAACAATAAAATGTGAGTTAAACTCTGAGATTAAATTATACTATGCTGTATTTTTATTTCACTTTTTTTGTTTGTTTTGTTTGCTAAATGCAAGAAAAAACTTGTTCGCTTATTCTCCACAAGCTGTGATTCTAGCACCGAAAATATCAACCAGACCACAAACAGATTGTCTCAAAACGTCAAGCCATCAACAACGGATAAAACCGCAAGAAAATTCAAAGTTGAAAAAATTGAAATTTGCAAATTTTTGAAGTCCTTGAAATCAAAAAATTTAAAAGAATTTTGAAAAGTGTTGAATTTATGCCAAGTCAAGTTACTCGTCAAGCAGAGAAAATTAAAGATTTTTTAATTTGAAAAAGTAAAACATCTTCATCTACAATTTTTCAAAACTATATTTGAAAATTAAACTTAAAATAAAAAAGTTGTGAAATTAAAAAAAATTAAATGTTATTAAATTAGATTTTTTAAAAAACAGTGATTTTTTTCTGAAATATAAATAAACAATTTTCGAAAAAAGGTTACTAAAATAGTTTTCGAATATTTTAACTTCAAACATATTATTGGGAAATTTTATGAACAGTTAACAAATTTAATCACAAATGATTTAAAAAAAACATACAAAAATTAAGATTCAATTGCAAGGAATATAAAAAACTGAAAATCATTTTGAGATTTTATACTAAATGAAGAAGATATCCGTTTTTTGTCAATAACAATGGAATTTTTCTCAGTGCTAAAATGAAAGGTAAAATTCAGGGTGTAAAATTCACATTTGTGAGTTTATTAATTGCTCTGTTCCAGAACATGTAAAAAGTGTTGAAACTTTTTACAATATTATAAAGGAATAAGCAAAAAAGCAATTAAGTTTAGCTGGGCTGAACATTTCATACCCGTCCACCATTTGTAGGAGAAATGAAAATTTTCAAAAAAACTTCCGGAAATTACCATTTTAATGAAAACTGTTATATGGAGACTATACGAAGACCAAATTTGAAATAATTCCGGTGAATAATGTCGCACAAATCATAAAAATACCGAGTTCGGGAGGTTCCGTTATATAGGGAATATACGTTATACCGTTATATAGGGGATCTACTAACCATTAAAATCTCCCAATACGAAATTTGAAACGATTCCGGTAATAATGTTGCTGAAATCATCAAAATGCCGAATATCGGGAGGTTCTGTTATATGGGGGCTATGCGACCCCGTGGACAATTTTCTGTCTCAGGCTGTAGTATCCATTACGAACTTCAAATATCAAATTTGAAACAATTCCGGTGAATAACGTCGCAAATATCAATCATCAAAATATCGAATATCGGGAGGAAGCGTTATCTAGGGGATATATGATATCGAGGGCCTATATAGAAATTTTTCTTCTAGGGTTACTTACAAGGAACTCCTTTTGTGGATTTTAAAACAATTTCATTGAAAAATTTAACTGAAATCATCAAAATACCGAATTATGGGAGGTGCCGTCATATGGGGGATGTACGTTATCGTGGACCAATAAAGCCCACCTTCGAACTTGAACTGTCTGCAGACAAAAGACAGATATGTGCAAAATGTTAGCTTCCTATCTTGATTCGTTTTGACTGTAGCGTGATTACAACAGACGGACAGGGCTAAATCGTCTTAGAATTTTACGCTGATGAAGAATATTTATACTTTGTTGGGTCTACAATTATTATTTCGATGAGTTACTCACGGAATGACGACGGACACAAAATGTCAATATTTTAAAAGAGAATTATTTACTGCACATAAAGAGAAACGATAATCCGATTTTGCTCCAACTTTACAAAACTCAATACTTGCATCAGGTGAGAAAATGTACCTCTCCCACAAAGGGTCAAAATTTTGAAAAATTATAACTTTTATAAAATATGATGCGAGAGTCCGATTGTCTTCAAATTACACATATCACAATATTTTTATTAACCCAGGGTCTGGTGTGAAGATGGAATATACTAATTCACTCCTTCTGGTACCTTCCTCACTAAGGGTAACAATTTTGAAAGAAAGATCCCTCGTAAAACGCGAAATACATCCCATACATACATCCCAAGACTTCCACTTAAGCAAGATCTAGTGTGAAGATGGTAAAGAGGACCACTCCTTCTGGTACCTCCCCCACAAAGGGTCAACATTTTGAATTATTATAACGTTTATAAAGTCTGATTATCTTCAAATTTCTCACATATCACTAAAACAAGGCCTGGTATGAAGATCGGATTGAACGGATTACTCTTTCTAGTACGTCCCCCACAAAGGGTCAAAATTTTGAATATCCATGAAGCTGATAAAACGCGAAAATAACCTCCGATTCCATTCAGACTTGGTACATATCAATATTTCCATCAACACAAGATCTGTTATAAAGGTGGTAGAAAGTGGATCATTACTTCTGATACCCCCCTCACAAAGGGTCAAAATTTTGAATAATCAAAACGATTGTAAAATCCAAAATAAACATCCTGTTCTTTTCCTATTTCACACAACACATTATTTCTACTAACCCAAGATCTGCTGTGAAGATGGGATATATTGGTCCACTTCTTCTGGTACCTCCCCCACAAAGGGTCAACATTTTGAATAACCATGAAGCTCATAAAACGCGAAATTAACATCCGATTCCATTTAGGCTTGGTACAGCTCTATGTTTTTATCAACACAAGATCTGTTATAAAGATGGTAGAAATTGGATCATTCCTTCTGGTACCTCCCCCAACAAAGGATAAAAGATTTAAATAATCCAAACGGTTATAAAATCCAAAATAAACACCCGATTCTTTTCATATTTCACACAACACATTATTTTTACTAACACAAGATCTGCTGCGAAGATGGGATATATTGGCCCACTCCTTCTGGTACCTCCCCCACAAAGGGCCAACATTTTGAATATCCATGAAGCTCATAAAACGCGAAATTAACATCAGATTCAATTCAGACTTAACACATCTCAATATTTCTATCAACACAAGATCTGCTGTAAAGAAATCGGATCATTCTTTCAGGAACCTCCCCACATAGAAAGAAAGAAGCCGGAATAAGCATCTAACTCTCTTCAAATGTCACACATACAAACATTTTTGTTGACGCAAGATCTGTTGTGGAGATGATATATATCTGCAAATCCTTTCTGGTACATCACCCACAAGGGTCACAATTTTCAATACTTCTGTGTGTCATTATTTGCAAAACAAGTCAGCGATTCTTTACAACTTGCTATATCTAAATATTCCCTCAATCAGAAACCTGGGATGAATTAAGGGAAGTTCAATTAATGCTTATTTGTACTAAATGTAAACAATTGGAATTGAAAAGTCTGGCAACGTTTAGTATTTCCTGAACAGTGTTGCCGTTTTACGTACAATAGACAGTGTTGCATCTGTAATATTAAAATTATTTTATTATTATTTCAAATGTGGTTGAATCATAGCAGCATAAAATTAACGAATCCCTATAATTTACTAAATCCAGAAAAATATGTGTTGCCTGATTACTAAAATGATTAAATGTGCTAAGAAAGTTTTGTTAATTATATTCTGCAATATATTCAAACATTCTTGCTATGTCTATATATAATGTTTATAATATATTTTAAAAAAATAACTAATTAATCATTCTTTATTTCTATTTTCAGAAAAATCAACAAACCAATATTACAAAAAGGAATTAACACTAAATTGTGAGAATGCTAAAATACATTTGACAAAGGTCTTCTACAATTAAAAAAATTTAAATTTCAAGTGGAAAATTCTATAAATTCGGAGGTGTGAAAATATATTTACATTGAAAAATAAAACAAAAAATTGAAATAAAGTGCCAAAAACAAATAACAATTGTGATAATGGTGCATTATATTTGACAAAAGATTAAATTCTTTGAACAAACGTCAAATTGGAAAAAGAAACAAAAAAAAAAATTAAAACAATTATTTTTTTTAATTAAAAACTGAAAGGAAGAAAAAAACATTAGCAAAACGGATTCCATAATAAAAACACCCCGCAACCTTCGACCTTCAGAACCAAATCTGGCTGAGCAGAACATTTCGATTTCCTTCCATCAATTTGCAATAAATGGGGAAAATTGCACGCCACCATAATCAGTTGTTGTTGTTGTCGTCGTCGTCGTCCACGTTGTCACCGTTGCCATCATCCTTCAATGAGTATTGGGAGTGTTCTATGTGCCTGAAAAACAAGATGCTGTTGAAAATTGAAAATACCCTATTGCGTAGCCATCGTCAACGTGAAACCACCGGTATTAAGAAACTTTACAATTCATTTTTTGTATTATTTTAATTTCACCGGCCGCGGTTCGTTACGTTTCACTCACAACAATAACAAGAAAGCAAAAAAGTACAACGCACTAAGAAAAAGAACAAGAAGAAAAAAAAAACAGAAAACAAACTTCAAACTTGACAATAAACTAAATACACAAACAAAAACTACAAAAAAAAAAAAAGAAGAAGAATCCAATAAAGTGCATTTAAACCGAAATCATATCGAAATTTAAAAAAAATAGAAAAGAAATAGTCAAAAATATCCAGAGAGTGAAAATTGATATTTGGTTGTTAGTAAACCCCTTTCTTCGAGGAAAAGTGCCAGGAAATGTAACTTTACATTTTATAAATCAAATTAAATTTAAAATAAATTAAACAAAAAGCTTGATTTTGTTGATTCTCATCAAACGTGCCTTATCGTCACAAGAGCGGAGGCATTCGGAAAACTGCAATAAGAAAAACGCCTGAATTTAGGCACACCGTGTTTCTTGGCGTTTTTGTGTAAACGTCGCCATCTAAAAAAAAACGCCAAACGTCCAACGCCATCGTTGTAAATCAAAATACAATACAACTATCGATTGTCCCCATACCCGGTGATCTGTGTGAGAGAGAGAGAGAGTGAGTGATAGGTTGAAAAGAGAGTGAGACGAATCAAAACAAACAATTTGTCGTGTAAGTCCGTGCGTTTCCGTATCCGTTTCTTTTGGTTTTTCTTTTAAAATTAATCGGATTTTTAGGGCTTTTCGAAAAGCTCCTGACCGAATGGCTTTATCGGTTGTTACAAATACCACCAATAACAACAACAACAGTAATAACGTTCATCAATATCAACCGGGTTTTTTCGATTTACAATCATTGTTTGATCCTTACTCGTTGCAACACCAACAACAACAGCAAGATTTGAAATATCTAAATCATCATCAACAACAACAACAACACCAGAACAATCACCACCAAAACCACCACCAACATCATCACAATCAACAGCATCCAGCAACTTCAAAGTCTATTCTAACAGACTCAATGGAGTTCCAGAGCGGTGGTAACAGCAATAACAACAATAATAGTAGCAACAACAACAACAGCAATAATCATAACATATTACAAGTAAGTAGATATTTATTTTAATTGTCATTTAATTTATTATTATGTAGATATATAGTTTAAGGGCTTACTGCGGGGGTTCAATACAACAACAAGAGATGAACACAGAAATGTATTTCGAGACCATTTCGGACGTTCTATTAATTTTTTTACCAGTAGGATATTAAATAATGAATAAAGGAACTTCTTTAACTAACTACCAAGGATGCGTTTCCAATTACAAAACCGTAGTTCTAAGACTAAGCGACTTCAAATCAACCACTTTAATGTTGACACTGTACAACGGATGAAGTGTGCTTAATTCCAGCAGCTATGAAAATATGTTTTATTTATTTGCTGAATTTAATGGACATGAAAAAACTATTTTCATTTCATCTATAAATGTATTAGTTGTCTGATTTGCAAGTAGTTACGAGTGCCATATGGTAATGCTTTAATTGCTCCCCTGTCCTGTGCTTGGAAAAACGAGCGCCATCTAGACCTGAATGTTGTCAAGTCACATAAAACATCACATTAAAAAGCTACAATTGAGATATAACAAATAATAAAGGAGACAATACCCTCCACCATTTGAAGGGAACTTGAAAAATGTCAACAAATTCCGAAAAATACCGTTTAAATGATGACCTTTATACGGGGGCTATATGAAGATGTGGACCTGCATTAGGCTGTAGTATCCAATGTGATCTTAAAATACGAAATTTGAAACAATTCCGGTGAATAATGTCGCTGTCGGGCTTTGCGAAGTGGTGGACATGCATACGAAATTTTTAGGCATAGGCTGTAATACCCATTACAAACTTCGAATACGAAATTTGAAACAACCCCTTTCTTTTCATGTTTAGAGTTCGTGGCAGTCTTTTTATACCCTCAGCCATATGGCTACAGAAGGTATATATCATTTGATACGGTCAAACCGTGCCTAGTCGAAATAACGATTTTGGACCCTAGGTCTCTTTAGACCAAATCCGTTTCAGAACATTTGGAGTCGATCTAGCGATGTTCGCCCGTCCGTCTGTTGGTCTGTCTGTCTGGCTGGCTGGTGCGCACGATAACTCTCGGAGGGAGTATCCGATGTGGTCCAAACTTGTTACATCGTAATATTTTTGTCACACTTAGATCGAGTTCGGAGATGGGCAATATCGGTCCACTCCTTCTGGTACCTCCCCCACAAAAGGTCGAATTTTTCAAAGAAAAATATATTTTTTGCACAGAAAGAGAAAGGATAATCCGATTTTGCTCCAACTTTGCAAATCCTAATATTTGCGTCAGTTCTAGATCAGGTGCGAAAATGGACAATATCGGTCTACTCCATCAAGTACCTCCCACACAAAGGGTCAAAATTTTGATTAATTTTAACTCTTATAAAATGTGATCTAAGCGTCCGATTATCTTCAAATTACACACAGCACAACATTTTAAGTATCCCAAGGTCTGTTATAAATATGGTAAAGATCGGACAATCCCTTCTGTTACTTCCCCACAAAGGGCCAACGTTTTGAATAACACGAACGATTATAATATCCGAAAAAAGCATCTGTTTATCTTAATATTCCACACACCCCATTATTTCTACTAACACAAGATCTGCTGTGAAGATGGGATCAAAGAACAAAGGAAAGGACAAAGAATCAAAATTTTGAATATCCATGAATATCATAAAACGCGTAATTAACATCCGATCCCATTCAGACTTGGCATATCTCAATATTTCTATCAACACAAGATCTGTTATAAAGAAGGTAGACATCGGACCATTCCTTCTAGTACCTCGCCCACAAAGGGTTAAAGTTTTGAATATCCATGAAGCTCATAAAATGCGAAATTAAGATCCGATTCCATTCAGACTTGGTACTTATCTATATTTTTATCAACACAAGATCTATTATACAGATAGAAGAAATCGCACCATTTCTTCTTGTACTTCCCCCACAAAGGGTTCAAGATTTTGAAAACCAAAACGATCATAAAATCCGAAATAAGCATCCAGTTCTCTTCATAATTCACACATATTCCATTATTTCTGCTAAGACAAGATTTGCCGTGAATATGGGATATATCGGCCCACTAGTACCTCCCCCACAAACAGGGTGTGATAAAAAAACTGGAATTTCAATGGCTTTACCCCGAGCTCATTTTTCAATTTTTGCCGAATGGAATATTGCGATATGTTCAGCTCACGAGCCATTTTTTGGTCACTGCGACGCGGGTTTCGATCAAGTCGCTTTTTTACTTTTCGAACCATTTCTGCTGATGTTGCTGTTTTCCACTTCCTTGACGTCGGGCTATGCCTCTAGTAACCACGGTAATGAGCGATTCACATTCACATTTAAATGCTGGAGTGCTCTAACGATAGCCACTTGTGGTTTTCCAGCCAAATATAAATATCACGCTTAAATTCTATCACAAATAACTTTTTTTTCTGGAAAATGTTCACCAAAATGCTTTTGTGGGCTTGCAAACAATATAATGAGCTATCACTGGAATAATTTTAACAGCTGTCGGACGAGTGGCTTAGAAATGACAGCAGTTTGAAGTTGGTTGCAGTTTTTTCATCTCACCCTGTATTTCCACATTCTTCAAAAATTTACACATATCGGTATAGTCCAAATCTTGCACGTTGTAATATTTATATCAGTCTTAGTTCAGGTACGAATTGGTCAATATCGGCCAACTGCCTCGGAACCTCCCCAATATAGGGTCAACAGTTTGAATAATCATAACTCATCTGTCGGCAAAACCTACTGATACTATTTTACTTGTTTAGCTAACGTTTCGACCATTAATTATTTATTACATAATTTCTCACAGTGCGTTCCCCCTCTCTCTCTCTCTGCACATATCCTTATTTGAGTTTTGCACATTATTTCCCTAACATATGACCCTGACATGATGTGCGAACTGGTTCTAAGTTAGAGGAAGTTTTTTTTTTGTTTTTGACTAACTTATCAGCTGGCTTTTCATAAAATGGGTCTTCTGTTCAGTAGAATGCTTTCTTTGGGTCTTTTATATACACAGAGTTCAAGATAAAGTTCCCATATGGACTCCGATAATAGGTTTTTGTTATACCCTCCACCATACCATGGAGGGTAAATAAACTTAGTCAATCCGTTTGTAACTCCTCGAAATACTCATGCCAGACATAACAAAGTATATATATTCTTGATCAGCGTAAAATTCTAAGTCGATTTAGAGATGTCCGTCTGTGTGTCTGTCCGTCTGTCTGCCTGTTGTAATCATCTTTCGAACAAATTGAGATAAAAGGCTAACATTTTGCACACATGTATATTTTGCCAGTAGGCAGTAGTTCGAAATGGGCCATGTAGGTCCAAGTTATCATATAGCCCCCATATAACAGTACCTCCCAATATTGGGTATTTTAATGATTTTAGCGACATTATTTACCGGAATTGTTTCAAATTTGGATTTTGAAGTTCGAAATGGATACTACAGCCTAAGACAGAAAGTTATCTGTGCAGGTCCACGTCTTCGTATAGCCCCCATATAACGGTACCCCCGATATTCGGTATTTTGATAATTTGAGCGACATTATTAACCGAAGTAGTTTCAAATTACGTATTTAGAGTTCTTAATGGAAGCTACAGTCTGTGACAAAAAATTGTCTATGCAGGTCCAGGTCTTCGTATAGACCCATATATCAGTACCTCCCTATATTCCGTATTTAAACGATTTTAGGTACAATACTCACAGAAATTGTTTGAGATGTCGTATTTGAAATTCGTAATGGATGCTACAGCCTGTGACAGAAAATTGTCTATGCAGGTCCAGGTCTTCGCACAGCCGATATAACGGTACCTCCCTATATTCTATACTTTGATGATTTTAGCTACATTATTCGCGTTTATTTCAAGTTCCGAATTTGAATTTGGTAATGACTCATGACAAATAATTCCTATGTGGGTCCACGTCGTATAGGCACCAATATAACGGCAATATTCAGTATTTTTAAAATTTTACCAAAGTTTTTTCAGGATTTTATTTCCAAATTCGTTCCAAATGGTGGAGGGTATTCAAAGTTCGGCCCGGTCGAACTTACTGCTTTTTAACTTGGTATTGCCTAATTTCTCCCTCTTTGCACATATCCTTATTTGAGTTTTGTATATCATTTCCCTAACATATGACCCTCACATGATGTGTAAACTGGTTCTATGTTGAAGGTACAGAAGATGCTTTTTTGTGTTTTTGATTATATTTTGATCAGCTGGCTTTTCATAAAATGGGCCTTCTGTTCAGTAGAACGCTTTCTTTGGGTCTTCTATATACCCAGAGTTCAAGATGAAGTTCCCACATGGACTCTGATAATAGGGTTTTGTTTTTATATTTCTGTTGCCATCTCAACATTATTTTGAAGTAAATAATGAAGCATATTTAATTCCTATTAAATTACAACTTCCTTCCATAATAACTTATATTATAAACCTCAAGATCTCGGAAAATAAATCAAAACAGAATGGAAGCCTTGACGGTAATGGCTGATGTTGCTGAGTCGATTTTTTAATGCATTTCAAGTGTCTTTGTTTTTGTGATAAGGAACCCCTTTACGGCAATTGTAATTGTGTGTTACAAGCTGTCAAGACAGAGTTTTTTCTACCAAAGAGCAATGAATACTCTCTCTCTTCTCTGTCGAGACTTTGAAATAGTTGTTTTCCTTATCAGTGTCATTTTTTTATTATTTTTCCTGCTGATATTCCGCTCTCTTTCTCTCTGTTTAAAATTCATTTTCAAAATAGACAATATTTTTGCTCCGCCACGGCGGTTTGCTGATCCATTGACCATTCCATCCGACCTTTATTGATAATGTTTTGTTTGTCTCGTTTTATTTTTTGTTTTTAATTTGTTCTCTTGAGATTCGAATTCGAAGCTCAGTTGTATTGAATATAAGTTGTTATAATGAGTATTCCAAAATTTTGTCTCGTTTTTATTTAAATAAAAATTTCAAATTTAGTTATTTTTGGAAATTTTCCTGTTTTGTTCAAAATAGAATTGTGCTGCAGTTCAGATAATTTTGAATGACATTCAAAAACAAATTGCTGTGTCCAAAAACCCGTGCAAAATAAAATCAAAGAATAATCAGCTGTTTATAGGTCTTTAGATCTGCTATTCGCACAAACGCACACACCTTCAAACGTTCGCCGATATATGTTTGTGGGTATGTGTTGGACTTGTTTCTATCGGTTGAGTGAGTAAATTTGCAAATATTTCTTTTCCATTGTTTATTGAAATGTTTTGATTAACACGTACACTTGTGTGTAGGTATGCATTTGTCTGTGTGTATTTGTTTGCATGTATCTTAAGTGTTAAAATTGTTTATAAATTAGTGTAGATAATAATTATTATTGCCAGCAATATCAATACAATTCCAATCAATTCGAGAAGAAACTCTACTGAGCATTTTATACATTTCAATAGAAACCATGGCCTATCTATAAGGTTATCCGAAAAGACCAGCTGATTTAGTTCGTAGTGCCAAAGTGTATGCAATTTTGAATTAAACATATGAAACATAAACAAAAATTTTGACACCATGGCCCAAGTAAAAGCTCCCCCTGTCAAGCCAGCTGACAAGCTAATGTAATGTCAAAATGTATTATTGTGATTGACATTACAGAACAAAAGATAAACAAATAGCCAACAAAGTGCAAACAAATTTTGACATTATGTCTGTTCTTTATATACCTCCACTATAGTATGGAGGGTATATTAAGTTTATCATTCCGTTTGTAACACCTCGAAATATACAATAGATTCTTGATCAGCATAAAAGTCTATGTCGAAATCACGTCTGTGGAAATCACTCTAGCAAAATTCCGAACAAAAATCCGAACAAATTGAAGTAGATTGATAAAATCATTCCTCAAATGTATATTATGTCTGCAGGACTTTTGGTATTGAAAATGGGCAATGTAGGGTAACGTTTCGGTTTCCCGATATTCGGTATTTTGATTATTTTAGCGACAATATTCATCGGAATTGTTTCAAATTTGGTATTTGAAGTTCGTAATGGATGCTACAGCCTATGACAGGAGATTGTCTGTGCAGGTCCACGTGTTCGTATAGCCCCCATATAACGGTACCTCCCGATATTCGGTATTTTGATGATTTTAGCGACAATATTCACCAATTTTTTCAAGTTTCGCATTTGAATATTGTAATGGCTTTTGACAAAAGTTACCTATGCATGTCCATGTCGTCGTATAGACCCTAATATAACAGCTACATTCGGTATTTTTAAGATTTTAACAGAATTTTTAACGAATTTTATTGTTTTTGAGAATTGACAAATTCGTTCCAAATGGTGGAGGGTATTCAAAGTTCGACCCGGCCGAACATGATCTTTTTTGGCGCCATGGTTGGCAGTCGTTGCGCTTACATGGCCTTTTTAATGGATCTCGATAGAAACCCTATAAACGCCCTAGTTTTTATCATGGTAGAAAAATACGGGTAGACGCATCGACATAGATCCCGGGACAATGAACTGTCAAACCAATTTCGGAATTGACGTTTTTAAATGAATTTTTTTTTTCAAATTTGTAAAAATTGTCGAAAACTCGTATTATTGTAACTCCCGATTGACGTCGTAAAAGAAAACATATAAAAATCTGCTTAAATTTGAAAAACAAAAATTTTAAAATTATTGCGTTGATGCATCTACCTGTATTCTTCTACCATGCACTTAATTAAATATCTACAATACACTATGATCGATTAGCCGAAAGTCGACTTACATAGCCCTGTGAATGGAAAAATCCATAGCTCAAGTATAAGGTCCCCCCGTCAAGCCAGCTGACAAGCAAATGTAATGTCAAAATTGTCATTATTGTGATTGATATCACAGCACAAAAGATAAACAAATAGTCAACAAAGTGTAAACAAATTTTGACATTTCATCTGGTTTTTATACCCTACCCTAGTGGTAAGGGTATTATGTCTTTGTGCATTTGATTTTAAGATGGAGAAGGAAGCGAGATAGACCCGTAGTTAGTGTTGAGGATCTTCATAGAATCAATTTTAAGTCGATTTATGCATGTCGTCCGTCTGTCAATGTATTTATGTGAACAAAATGCAGTTCGCATTTATTATCCGATTGAAGCTTTGTATAGCCTCCATATAACGATACTTCCCAATATTCGGTATTTTGATGATTTTAACGAAATTATTCACCGGAATTGTTTTAAATTTCGTATTTAGAGTTCGTAATGGAATCTACAGTCAGAAAATTGTCTATGCTGGTCCAGGTCTTCGTATAGGCACCCATGAACAAAATGCAGGTCGCATTTATTGTCCGATTGAAATGAAATTTTTCAAACAATATTTGTTTGGCCAAATGACAAATTCTATTGAAATCGGTTAAAATTTAGATGCAGCTCCCATATATATCTTCAACCGATTTCGGGTTAATTGTGCACCAATTTGGGCAATATCAGTCCAAATGACCCGAATTTTGGCACATCCCACGGAATTCACTCTAGAAGTAAGTACATCAATTTTGAAAATCGGTTCAGATATAGCTATAGCTCCCATGTATATGTTTCATCCGATTTAGAGTATTAAATCCCTCACATGCGTAATATGCACTCTACAATAATGATATTTGGTATCAGATATCTTTTAGAGCTCGAAAATACCTTTGCCAAATTTTATCGAGATCGACTAAGATTTGGATATAGCTCCCATATATACAGGTTGAGATAAAAAAAACTGCAACAAAGTCGAAAGCCATAACTTTTACATTTTTTTTTTAATTTTATTGAATGACAGCAAAAAATGTCGGAAATAGCATCAAATTTTAGAAAAAGTTTAGATTTGTTCGAATTAGTCACCTTATGGCCTTTAAACGGCCAATAAGATCATCACACGCTGCCCGAATGTTGCTCTGCGGTATTTTGGCCCATTCCCGGCGAAGCGCTTGCCAGAGGTGATCGATACTTTGGTATTTTTTAGTGCCAACCTTGCTTCCCAAAATACCCCAGAAACAATAATCCAACGGATTGGTATCCGGAGATTTTGGTGGCCATTGTGCGCTGGAAACGAAGCTAGGAACCTCATTTTGTAACCATTTTTGGGTGGCGCGTGCTGAGTCCTGTTGAAATGTCCAAGGTCTGCGGCCAAAATGTTTGCGTGCCCAAGGCCTTAATATACCCTCCAGAATATTTTCGCAATAATATTCGGCATTTATTCTGATGCCACGGTTAATTAATACGATCGGAGAGCGACCATTGGCTGTTTTGGCAGTCCACACCATCACCATGTTCGTCGCTTGAGTTCTGTTAGTCAACCGAAGGTGCACATTTTCAGCTGACCTCTTTGACAAGTAATCACGATCATTTTGTTTGTCTACAAACTGCTGGACAACGAATGTTTACTCATCAGAGAAAACCAAATTCGGAAGTTCACTACTTTTGGCCAAGAGAAGCAACTCATTACCTCTTTTGAGTCTATTTTCTTTCTGTTGCGGTGTAAGTTGTTGCACTTTTTGGAATTTCAATGGTTTTACCCCGAGCTCATTTTTCAATATTTGCCGAATGTAATTTTGCGATATTTTCAGCTCACGAGCAATTTTCCGCCACTGCGAATAATTTTAACAGCTGTCGGACAAGTTGCTTAGAAATCACAGCAGTCTGAAGTTGGTTGCAGTTTTTTCATCTCACCCTGTATCTTCAACCGATTTCGGGTTTATGGGGAAACAAACTGAATTTAGTCTTCTAGACTATCAAATTCTGGTACATTAATTTTGTTGAAAATCGATTCAGAATTGGATATGCCTCCCTTATATTACTTTCCTCTGAAACCAAATTATAACTGCCCTAAAGCCAAAGGTTGATAGGTTGATCTACTTCAAATAAATTCTTTTGTTATGGGAGCTCTACTACTGGTGTAGGGTATCGTATAGTCGGCCCGCCCGACTTGTGTCTTTTCCTTAGTAGCTAGTACTACAAATTCGCAATTTGTTCAGTTTGACAATTTTTTTCAATCGAAACATCAGAAGGAGTGGATCGATATTGCTCATCTTCGAGCTTGATATAAGTTTGATAATAATTTTGTGAGGTATCAAGTTTGGACTCCCTTCGAGAGTTATCGGGCCACCAGCCAGACAGACAGACGGACGGACATCGCTAGTTCGACTCCAAATGTCCAAAGAGACCTAGGGCCTAAAACCGTTATTTCGATGAGGAACTTTTTGACCATATCAAATGATATATACCCTCTCTAGCCATATGGCTGAGGGTATAGAATACAGCTAGTTTCGGCAATTCCAAAATATTAATACCCTCCATCATTTGAAAGGAATTTGAAAAATAAAAAAAAAATCCATCGAAAAATGCCACTTAAACCAAAACCGTTATATGGGAGCCATACGAACACTGGACATCCATAAGTAATTTTCTACCATAGGCTGTAGTACCGATTGTGAACTTCAAATACGAAATTTGAATCAGATCCGTTGAATAATGTCGCTAAATGGGCTATGGCCCTGCCTACTGGCCAAATGCACAAATGTGCAAAATTGTAGCCTTCTTTCTTAATTTTTCGAAAGATAGCGTAATTACTATACAAAGATAAATGGAGATTACTAAATCTACTTAGAATTTTACGTTCCTTCCATAGAATTCACATTACGAAATGTTTATATTAATTTACGTTTTGACAGATTCTTCTATCGATTTTGAGGATTTTAATCACATTTTTCCATCTGAATTTGTTTTAATTTGATATTATAATGAGAAAATCGTTCAATATAGGTAAATTATGGCTATATTGAAATTCTTATGAAGGTATTCCAACTATAGGTTTAAGAATCTGTGCATCGTAAATTCATGCCAAGTTCTAAATGCTATTAAATTCTAAATGATATTTTTTCTTTACTTATAATATATTATAAAAACTAATTTAGAAAATATAAACAAGTTTCTAATTCATTTTAATATATTAAAATATAATAATTTTGAATATTTCTATTTTCAGCATACCCAGCAACAAATAAATCGTAATTTAATGAGCGGATTTCTTCATCAACATTTTGGCGCTGAATATGAACCCGTTATAACATTTGTCGATTCACCTCCAAATTCTGAAGAATCTTGGCCGGGTAAGTTGGAAATTTCTTGAAAGAATATTTTCAGATTTGGCGAATGTGAGAGAGGATCAATAACACAACAAATTCTCAATAAGAGAAAGAGAGAGAGAGGGTCACAGTGTAGCCCCTAACACAGTAGGGAAGTAAGGAATAAAAATTTGACAAGCTATTTGCAATTGAAAATATTGATATTTAAGATTTTAAAATTTTGCAGCTCATAGTTCCGCTTTTCAATTTTTATTTCAATAAAAATTTAATTTGATTTAAGGGAATTAGCAACAAAATTAACTCTTAATTTAACAAAACTAATTAGTTTAGCACATATTTCATTTTTAGTTTGAAAAATAAATGTTTGAAAATAGATCGATAATTAACATTCATTATGGAGTATTTAATATTTCCTGAAACATCCGGAATAGCTTCATTCAAATCAGAGGTTCTTTAGAATTTTTTTTTACTAAAAAAAATAAATGGTGCTTGTAGTTTTCTAACAAAGATTTAGATGTTCTCCGAAGATGGTATGTGAAATTGTACGTTTTGGTACAAAACCCGAATATTGCATATATATTTGTACTAAATATTGTAGGATTTTTTTTTTTGGGAAAAGTTAAAATGCTTTTTTCCTAAAATAGAGGGACTTGGACCTGCCTGTTTGGCAGATTATGTTATAATACTTCTTTGTGGAAAGGATCCAACTGTGCAGAAAGGCCGACGAGGTCCAGAAGATAGCTTACAACTGGTTCAGGCCAATAGGACTAACTGTAAACTCGAAAAAACGGAATTATGTCTTTTCACCAGGAAGACTAAAATTTGGCAAATCTGGATACAAAATTTAACTGGAAACACCACATTAACGAAAAACAAAGAAAGGTTGCAAATGCTGGTTAATCGGTCGAAGGGCAATAGCTTCAAAATGTGGACTAAATCCAAAAATTACTTACTGGCTGGGCAAAAGTGCAACTTAAGCTATTCAAACATGCGCGTAGTAGTCTGGGGGATAGCAATGGATAAAAAGTGCAATATCTTGCAGAACGTCCAAAGAATTTGTTGCCTTGGCAATGAGAATTACACCGACGAGGGCTTTAGAGACTATTATTTATATACACCTAATATATATACAAATTAGGTATAAGGCAGCCATGGACGAGTATATCAATAAAGGTCCCACTTGTCGTCATGGGAGACTCAATAGAGGAGTCCATTTCTCACAGAGTACCAGAATAGAAATTAATTGCATTCGACTTGTGGAACAACGGATCCAAGAGAGTATGACATGCGGACGCTGCTTTACGAACGGTTTAAAGTTAGGGAAGATAACGGGCTAGGCCTATTTATAGAAGGCTTGAACAGAGTAACGAGAATTATCACGGAACACATGGCAAGCATTCTTAAAAAAACAGGTTGTACGGACTCGGGTACTTGCAGGGCAGGGCAAGTGGAGTAGAAGATGAAACGTTAGAACATTTCCTTCCTATGTATGCGTTCATAAGCAGTTGTGGCGACTCAGATTCGCCTAACCTAACCAAAAATATTCTCCGAAACGTTTTTAGAATCCCTCCCGATATAAAATCGTAAAATATGTCTGTATTATGATATAAACCTGAAACCTTGAGGCAGCTTACTATCGAATTTCATCTAGAATTTCATCTGGTACCAGTGGTGGGGATTCACAGAGAATCTCAACTCTCTGCTTCATCATCATACATTCTTCAGATCTTGTCGGTACCACTTTCAATCCAAATCGTTTGCCGTTTGCCAGCAACAGAGCGGGAGAGATGAATATGCCTCGCTAGTGTAGCACTTGTGTTGTACTCGTCCTATTTCCTGATCGTGCCTTAAACTTTCTCTCATTTTGGATGGCCAGTCCCATGGTGTATGGAGCAGAAACTGCTAGTCGTTTCGACTACGAAGTCTTACCGATGTCAGTCTGTGGTCTGGTGACGCGGGTGTTAGGAGCCCCTAAATCTGTGGATCTAGCTGATCTGATTTGACTATGAGAGGCCCCTATTTTGGCTGCAATGCGGTGGTTGTGGTTTATACTCAAATCGCGGGTAAAGCTTCGGCTCGTTGTGGAGTTGCATTCTCAAACGGGTGCTGTAACTCATAGAGCAGCAGAGGTGTAAGATAGTACTCACATCGTATTGCGACCCCTGTACAATGGGGCATCATAGAGCAGCAGAGGAGTAAAATAGTCCTGAATCCTTTACCAAGAGGGAAGTAAAACCCATATTGCTATAGAATGGACCTAGAACTCTGTGGAGGGCTGCCACTCTCTAAGAGAACTCTAGGCAATTTCAAAGTGGTGCTGGCCGACGCATCGTATCGCGATCCCTGTACAATATTGCATCATGCTTAAATCCGTCAAGGCGAAACTAATGCAAAACCACTTTGACACCCCATGTAGAAGATCCCTAGGTGTCGTGAGGGTTAACCTGTTGCATTTCTGAGGTAGGCTCGTCTTCTTGCTCCATATTTGTATACAATCAGCCATATGGCTATAGAGGGCATATATCAAAACGTGCTCATAGAAATAACGGTTTTAGACACTAGGTCTCTTTGAACCAAAACTGTTTCAGGACATTTGGAGTCGATCTAGCGATGTCCGTCCGTCTGTTTTTTTGTCTTTCTGGCTGGTGCGCACGATAATTCATGAAGGGAGTGTCCGATTTGGTCTAAACTTGGTACATTGTAATATTATTGTCAGACTTAGATCGAGTTCGAAGATGGGCAATATCGGCCCTCTCCTTTTGGTATCTCCCCCACAAAAGCTTAAATCTTCAAAAAAATATTTTACTGCAAAGAAAGAGAAACGATAATCCTTTTTTGCTCCAACTGTGCAAATCCTAATATTTGCATCAGTGCTAGGTCAGGTGCGAAAATGGACAATATCGGTCCACTCCATCAAATACCTGCCCCACACAGGGTCAACATTTTGAATATTCATGAAGCTCATAAAACACAAAATTAATATCCGATTCCGTTTAGACTTGGTACATATCAATATTTCCATCAACACAGGATCTGTTATGAAGATGGTAGAGATCCTTCAGGTACTTCTCCCACAAAGGCACAAAGTTATGAATAACCAAAACGATCATAAAATCCGAAATAAGTATCCTGTTCTCTTCATATTTTACATATATTCTATTATTTCTACTAACACAAGATCTGCTGTGAAGATGAAAGTATCGGTCTACTCCTTCTGGTACCTCCCCCACAAAGGTTCACAATTTTGAATATCCACGAAGCTCATAAAACGCGAAATTAACTTCCGATTCCATTCAAACTTGGTGCAACTCAATGTTTCTATCATCACTATATATGTTTTAAAGGTGGTAGAGATCGGAACATTCCTTCTGGTACCTCTCCCACAAAGGGTCAAAGTTTTAAATAACCAAAGCGATCATTAAATCCGAAAAAAACATTCGGATCTCTTCATATTTCATACATCCCATTATTGCTACTAAAACAAGATCTGCTGTGAAGGTGGGATATATCGGTCCACTCCTTCTGGTACCTCCCTCACAAAGGGTCAAAATTTTGAATATTCCTGAGGTTCATAAAACGCGAAATTAAGATCCGATTCCATTCAGACTTGACATATCTCAATATTTCCATCAACACAAGATCTGTTATAAGAATTGCAGAGATCGGACCATTCCTTCTCGTACCTCCTCCACAAAGGGACAACGTTTTGAACAACCAAAACAATAAAAAAATCCGACATAAGCATGCGGTTCTCTTCATATTTCACATACATTCCATTATTTGTACTAACACAAGATCTGCTGTGAAGATGAAATGTATCGGTCTACTCCTTCTGGTACCTCCTCCACAAAGGTTCACAATTTTGAATATCTATGAAGCTCATAAAACGCGAAAGTAACATCCGATTCCATTCAAACTTTGCACATATCTCAATATTTCCATCAACACAAGATCTGTTATAACAATGGTAGAGATCGGACCATTTCTTCTGTTACCCCCTCCCCCCACAAAGGGTCAACATTTTGAAACTCATAAAACGCGAAATTAACATCCGATTCCATTCAGACTTGGCATATCTTAATATTTCTATCAACGCAAGATGTGTTATTTTTAACACCATTATAGAGATCACACCATTTCTTCCGGTAGCTCTCTCCAACATAGGATTCAAGATTTTGAAAAACAAAACGCTCAAAGAAAGCGAAATAAGCTTCCAATTCTCTTCAAATTTCACACATCCAAATATTTTTGCTAACACAAGATCTGCTATGAAGATGATATATATCTGTCAACCCTTTCTTGTATCTGTCATAAATTACGAAACAGGTCGGGGATATTTTACAAATTGAGTCGAAACATCTGAATATTTCTCTCAATCAGAAACCTGGGATGAATATGGAATTTATTATTTCGCAAAATATTAAAATGGAATTCTTTGGTCGACTATATCTGGTACCTCATGCACATTCCAATATTTTCTCAAAATTATCACATATCTCATACAAAGTGAAGGAAGTAGTCGATATAGCCCAAACCTGACACGTCGCAATATTTACATCATATTTATTTAGGTCCGAGACGAAATGGACAATATTGGCCCTTTCCTTCGGAACCTTCCCGATAAAGGATCAACAGTTTGAATAATCATAACATAAGTCAAAATATATTTAAGTTATCGAACATCGACTGAGGGTATACATTTGTCGGCAAAACCGACTAATACTTTTTAACTTGTTCTGTAATATTCTATGATTTTCGACCAGAGTCGAGAAGATTTTTTTTCTAAATTTTTTTTAATATCATCTTTGTATGCTTTATTCTCCCCAAAACAATCACATGATTTGTAATGCATTTAGTTTGCTGGGTTGCTATACGTTTTCCCTCTCTCTCTCTCTCCCTCTCATAATTTTTTAACACTTTTCCGTAAAATCCAATTGAATTTCCAATTTCTCTATCAACAGACGATCAATCGAAGGGCTCACCAGGACCGCAAATAATTGACGTCCAGACTATTTACTCCAACAGTGGTTCACGTAAAAGGCGAATGGATTGGGATCCATTGGATTTGGGACAGAGTGAAAGCAATGCTTCTCCACCGGCTGTTGAACTGCCCACAAAATTAGCAGGACATTCATCATTGGCCGATAGCAAGGATAAAGGATATAAGAGGGAGAAATTAAGTAATGGTAAGTGGATTTCAAAATAAATACCTTTAAGCCGGTCTAGAAACAGAATTTGCTAGGCTTTCCCTGCCAGTTTACATAATCGCGATGTGAGAAAAAGAAAAAAAAAACACGTTTTTTATTTGAATTTAAATAATAATTTCTAAAAACAACAACAACAGTAATAACAAAATCACAAACAAACAAATACTAAAATGCTGTCTTATCGTTAGCTTGTTGCTCTATTGTTTACAGTCTGACAGGCTATCTGTGGTTGTGCGTGTGCTTGAGTGCGGCCACACTTGGCCAGATAACCACCTAAAATCGTAAAAAAAACTCCGAAAATCGAGACATTTTAGATTATCAAAATAAAAAGCGAAAACAACACCCAGCCATGACTAAAAGGAAAAAATCAAATTCAAAATCCAAAAAGGAAGAAGAGGAATCCGAGCACCTCAAGCAAAACATATTTCAATTACACTTGAATCCAAAAAAAAAAAAAAAAAAAAAACAACAACAAATAACAATAAAATATGTTAGAGCAAACAACAATTCACACCACGCTTTTATTTATGTAGACCAAGGTTTTTTTTTTGGATTTTGCGCGTTTTTTGCACCAGATAATGGCCACTTTTTAATCTGCCCAACACTTTGGAGCGTTTTTATTGCCTTAAAATTGAAGTAAACCATTTTAAATTTGTACGTTTAGACGTATGTGTGTTGGGAATGTGCGAATTGTTTGAGTCAACGAAAGGGGGCAGCAGATTGTATAATAATTGGAAAATAATCATCAGCCGATGAGCACTGGCTTTTTGAGGGCATCGGGATGATAAATCATAGATTAAATAGGGTTTCTATAGAAAAATTATGGTTCCGCCTTTCAATAGAAGAATTCAGAGGTTTTCGATAGGAAAACTTGTATTCAGCCTGGGGCTGAATAGGGCTTTTTTAATAGGAAGACTTGTATTCAGCACGGGGTTTTCGTTAGCATAGGGGTTTTCGTTAGGAAAACTCTTATTCAGCCAGGGCTGAATAGGGGTTTTCGTTAGGAAAACTCTTATTCAGCCAGGGCTGAATAGGGGTTTTCTTTAGGAAAACATGTATTCAGTCCGGGGCTGAATAGGGGTTTTCGTTACAAAAACTCTTATTCAGCCAGGGCTGAATAGGGGTTTTCGTTAGGAAAACTCTTATTCAGCCAGGGCTGAATAGGGGGTTTTGTTAGGAAAACTCTTATTCAGCCAGGGTTGAATAGGGGTTTTCTTTATGAAAACTTTTATTCAGCCAGGGCTGAATATGGGTTTTCGTTAGGAAAACTCTTATTCAGCCAGGGCTGAATAGGGGTTTCTTTAGGAAAACTCTTATTCAGCCAGGGCTGAATAGGGGTTTTCGTTAGGAAAACTCTTATTCAGCCATGGCGGAATAGGGGTTTTCGTTAGGAAAACTCTTATTCAGCCATGGCTGAATAGGGGTTTTCGTTAGGAAAACTCTTATTCAGCCAGGGCTGAATAGGGGTTTTCGTTAGGAAAACTCTTATTCAGCCAGGGCTGAATAGGGGTTTTCGTTAGGAAAACTCTTATTCAGCCAGGGTTGAATAGGGGTTTTCGTTAGGAAAACTCTTATTCAGCCAGGGCTGAATAGGAAAATGCAAGTTTTCCTATCCTGGCTGAATTCAAATTTTCCTCTCGGAAACCTCTATTCAGCCAGGGCTGAATAAGGGTTTTTGTAGATGAATTTCACATTTAAAAATACATTTTTTTGCTTTTAATTATTTATATTAGCTGCGGATCATTTTTCGTTGTCGTATTTACACCACCCTCCCCATCTCTTTCTGTTAACCATTTATAACGTCTGCACGTTTTCTGGATAAATATCTCCGCTTTATGGCATTTCCAAATTGCTATTATCACTATTATCATCAACAACGAAAAACATAGCCATTGTTGTGGCTGAGTGATTTCACACATTTCGAGAGTTTTGAAAATTAGTAGAGCCCTGCAATACCCTCCCCACCAAAAACAAAATATTTGAAATTTCCTCCTTCCAGTTGAGACAATTTAGAATCGATTGGTTATTAACACTAAACTGTTAAAATTTGGAAACGTGTTGACATTGTGTCCACACCATATGGAAGGTGTGGTGTTGGTGATAGGCTGGAGGGCCAACATGTTGCCGATTTTAATCCGAAAAAGAGAAAAATCATCGTTGGTGAGGTGTGTACATATGTGTTGTTGTTGTTGTTGTTTTTTATTATCTTTCTGCCCCGCTTTCAATTAAAAATGTTAATTTTTAATTAGTCTATGGCATAGACACGTTTCATTTGACTTGTGTTTATGTGTGTTTGGGGAGGGGGGAGGTGGGATCACATATCACCAGACATTTATTTATTTGTTATTTTTTTGGTAAGTTTTATTATTGTTATTAAAAAAAATAATAAAGATTAGAGTGTATTTTTCATGCCATGCTAATGTTTTACGATCACTTAAATATATTTTGAAGAGGACAAAGATATGGCGGACCTGGATAGAGATTTTCATTCTAAAATAGTGGTTTAACTTGGCTGACCAGGAAAATTAAATCAGGAAATTCCATCTTAGATTGCAAAATTAAATATTTGCAGTAGAAAATATAAATTCAGTTCATTAGTGGGTAGCTCTTACCCTTTTGTCGTCACTGTCAAAAATCTGTAGATCTTAATTTAGTTGACTACCTAAATAATAAACAATTCAAAAATAGCTCTTGTCGATAATTGTCGTTAGATAGTTGACGAACTAAGTTTCCTCAAAGTGACAATATATTCAGTACAGCAACATTTATTGTAGTTTCCCACCTCTGAGAATTCCTCCTTTCGAAAATTTTTCACAGAAGGTGAAAAAATCACCAGCTGAGGTATTGTTTACTCCTAGTGTAAACATAGTATGATATCAACTTTTGAACGAGTGCTCTAGTAGCAAACGACTTGTTTAAATTCACATACCTCGAAATGCTCCCATGACCAAATAGCTTCGCTTAACACATATTTTGGGCATAATAGGCGGAACGAAAGCGTATAATTTTTTGCACGGTTTGGGATTTACTCAAAAATGTTAAATGTATGTATGCATGTATATACTAACCCACAATAATGGCTATTATTGTTATGAAAAACCCCTGAAAAGCAATGCCGATAATATCAATTGTGACAAAAAAGGGAAAAAATGGCGGAATTTGAACTAATATATAAGGTGAGCCGAATTCTTGATATCCACCACCATTAGGAAATAAAAACAAAGATTGGAAAATATAGGGTGACATAAAAAAACCTGCAACAAAGTCAAACTCCACAATTTCTTAAATGTTATTGAATGAAAGCAAAAATGTCGGAAATAGTAATTTTAGAATAAGTTTAGATTTGTTCGAATTGGTTACCTTTGGCACGAATTATGGCCTTCAAACGGCCAATGAAACCGTCACACGCTGCCCGAATGTTGCTCTGCGGTATTTTGGCCCATTCCCGGCGAAGCTCTTGCTTAAAGTGATCGACACTTTGGTATTTTTTTTATTGCCAACCTTGCTTTCCAAAATACTCCAGACACAATAGTCCAACGGATTGCTATCCGTAGATTTTGGTGGCCATTGTGGGCTAGAAATTAAGCGAGGAACCTCATTTTGTAACCATTCTTGGGTGGCACATGCTGAGTGCGATGGTGCTGGGTCCTGTTGGGATGTCCAAGTTCTGGGGCCAAAATGTTTGCGTGCCCAAGGCTTTAATACACCCTCGAGAATATTTTCGCAATAATATTTGGCATTTATTCTGATGCCACGGTCGATTAATACGAGCGGAGAGCGACCATCCGCTGTTATGTCGGCCCACACCATCACCATGGCCGGCGCTTGCGTTCTGGTGGCCAACCGAAGATGCACATTTTCAGCTGACCTCTTTGGCAAGTAAACACGATCATTTTGTTTGTTTACCAACTGCTGGAAAACGAATGTTTTCTCATCGGAGAAAACCGAATTGGGCAGTTCACCACTTTCGGCCAAGCGAAGCAACTTTTTAGCTCTTTTGAGCCTTCTTTCTTTCTGTTGCGGTGTAAGTTCTTGCACTTTTTGGAATTTCAATGGCTTTACCCCGAGCTCATTTTTTAATATTTGCCGAATTGAAAATTGCGATATGTTCAGCTCACGAGCCATTTTTCGGCCACTGCGACGCGTGTTTCGATCAAGTCGCTTCTTTACTTTTCCAACCATTTCTGCTGATGTTACTGTTTCCATTTCCTTGACGTCGGGCTACGTTAGCAGTATCACGGTAACGAGCGATGGTACGAGACAGAAGTGACAGCAGTCTGAAGTTGGTTGCAGTTTTTTCATCTCCCCCTGTATATACGGGAGCTATATCCTATTCTGATCCGATCTCGATGAAATTCGACAGAGGTATTTTTGAGCTCCATAAGATATCTGGTACCAAATATCATTCTTGTGGAGCGCATATTACGCATGTGAGGAACTTAAAACCCCAAATCGGGTGCAACATATATATGGGAGCTATATCTGATACGATTTTCACCTAATTTCTAGAATGGAACGAATTTGGAAATGTTCAAAAAATAAAATCCTAAAAAAAAATTCTGTTAAAATTTTAAAAATACCGAATATAGTCTATACGACGTGGACCTACATAGGCATTGTTTGTCATTAGGCATTACCATATTCAAAATCGAAAATTGAAATAACGGTGAATAATGTAGCTAAAATCATCAAAATATCGAATATAGGGAGGTACCGTTATATCGGAGCTGTGCGAGACCTGGACCACATAGACAATTTTCTGTCACAGGCTGTAGCATCCGTTATGAACTTCAAATACGACCTCTCAAACAATTTCGGTGGTTATTGTACCTAAAATCGTCAGCATACCGAATATAGGGAGTTACTGATATATGGGGCCTATACGAAGACCTGGACCTGCATAGAAAGTTTTCTGTCACAGACTGTAGTTCCTATTACGAACTCTAAATATGTAATTTGAAACTACTCCGGTATACAGT